AGTCCTTGGCCATCTACTGCAGCACCTGCACAGTCTATGACCAATTTCTGCAGAATGTTAACCATCTGCTGCAGCACGTTCGTAGTCTCTATCCATCTGCTTTACATATCCCCAGTCCCTGACCATTTCCTACAGCACCTCCACAGTCTCTGTTCATTTCTTTCAGAAGAATGTCTGCAGTCTTTGACCATCTCTTTCAGTATTGTACACAGTCCCTGACCCTCTCCTGCAGTACGTCTACAGTCTCTGACCATCTCCTACAGTGTGTTCACAGAGCCTGATTGTCTTCTGCAGCATGTTCCAAATCTATGATGGTCTCCTATGGATGTTCACCATCTCAACAGTCTCTGACTGCCTCTTTCAGCATGTCTGTTGTGCTTGTCTGCCTCTTGCTACATATCTGCAGTCTCTGTCAGATGCTAAATATAAGAAGCTGGCCTTTGATCATGTCAGGTGCTGCACTTGAGGCAACATAAAGTAATTGCGAACTTCATTAATGTTAAAACTTTTTTCAGTAGATAAATATAATCATATAACACATCCATGTTTCTTTAAAAAAAAAAAAAAAAACAAAAAAAAAAAACCTTATAACTATAATGTGTTTTCTAGCTTTTAAAGAGCAGGTCGCATGATTGCTGTATGTTCCCAAGCAATTAATGGACCTGCTAGTGGGCATGTACGCAGTGGGGCATCTACGTCATTGAAAAAAATGACGCTTGTCTCCAGGAGTCCACGTTTCCAAGGCAATGAAACAAAAATGTACCTGACACACTAACAATGGGATGACACAAAATGTGAACTGACCATGCTAGCATGAATCAACTGCCATGTCTAGGTCATTTTACTCTCTGGAGGAGGGTCACAGGCAGGATCAACCAGGTATTGGAGAACCCCGGCAGGCACAAATAAAATAGTGACATTAAAGAGCACATTAATATACATTAAAGACTCCGTAAAATTATTTTTTCAGGTTTACGAACACTTTAAATTCAAGCAAGTCAGGTTCTAATAGATTGTGAGATTCCAGCCACTGGGAGCTGGAGGGGTGGTTTATAAAGTACAGGAGAGTGAAGACAAAAGGGAGCACCTCATCATGTATATAGTGTCATATGGGTATGTGAATTACAAAAGTGGTTGAATAAAATTACAAACATTTTAGTGGGTAAAATAGATCACACACTATTTGTGTATTCAACTGTTTGGCCAACATTTAAAGTCAGTTGAAATGGTATGAATGTTTAGTCTTATTTTTAAGGACTTCCTATCTCTTGCATATTTCAGGAACCAATATATTAAAGCATTACAGTAAGTAATGAAGGGGCATAAGGAGTTCAGAAAGTGATTTGTCCATCTACTTAGCATATAAAACTGTATTGTACTTAAGCAAAACCTCATTGTATTTACAGCAAAACCTTGTTAGCCTATAATCTCCATTACATTCCGTATATTACTACATCAATAAAATACATTTATATGAATACTACTCTGCAGGGGTGACATTTCTGCAATCCCACTTTTAGGAAAATCTCCTAAAGCAAAGCATGATTTCTATATAAACTTCCCCAATGCCTGCACAGTCTCTCTGGCCTTTTGGTAACCTCAGTGACTCTGCAAAGAGGCACCACATATAAGCTGCATAATCACTTTCAGGTGTTGTACTCTACAAATTACAAATGCCTTCTTGGCAACTTGTCAGAGACTTCTGGAGTCAATGGTGAGCAGAATGAATGGCTGTGATGGCAGTGATAGATATTACAAGAGAGCCCCACTGGGTCTGCTCTATGTCGCTGCCTGGACAGCTTTCATGAGAGTAGGAATTTTATAATTGCATAGCTGAGTAAGTGTCAGAAGACCAGATCCCAATGGTTTTCCAGATTTCATTTCTCCCCTCTACTTGGCAGAGTTAAAGTTCTAAATGTCTTATATTAAATAAGTAGTCTGGATCCTAAAGCCAGGATAACAGTAAGATTAGCCTTGCAATGTGGAAATGTATATATAGACACAGAAAGAGACCCAGCTGTTTACGTGAAGCCATGTTTTATAAGCAGAGACTAACTATATTCTAAAAATTTGTGATGTCAACAACTCAACTGATCATCCATTATCTTTGGATTACCAATAAATTCCATTAAACAAAATGCTGTTTTTGGCAGAATATTTTTACATCTTGTAACTCCATTGGAATGACTTAAAACAGAACTCCGGGCAAAAACTTCTTTACATGTCCATGTTGCTGATTTCTTACCTTCAGTGAATATGCCACCCATTTTCTGATTCACTCAGTAGGTGCTATGAAATAGCCTATTCATTTTCAAATCAAACCGGTAATTCTCTTTGGTTTCCTGTTTGTAAGACCAGTGGCTGCTATGCCTCCTATTCCTAAGCCACTAATCTTGGCACAACCCTTCTGTAGTTCTTTCTCCAGGAAGCAGTGATGTAATTCAGCCCCACTTGCAGTGGTGGCCAGACTGAGACTCTCAGAAACATTAAACATGTACAGGCCTAGAGTACCCGCCCACATTCACTACAATTTCCTGCGGTGAATGGGAGCTGTAGTTTCCTTTTACTGCAGAGAGAGAGGAGAGGATATGATGTAATCCCTGGCTGTTACGCCTCCTCCTTGCCAGAGCATATGCTGTTATTTTTTTAATTACAGAGGTGAGGTCATAAAAATTAAATTAGACTTTTCTCCTAAATGGCACAGATTTTAAAATTTGTATTAACTGTTTAGTGTTTTGTGTAGAAGGGTGTACTAACGGGTGATTTTGTTTGCCTATTTCGACGTTCTTATTTAAATCACTGCCCTGCAACACTCACAAAAGCAACACATGTATAACAATAAAGAACAATGGCAAAATACATATCATACTATATTTGATCAGTATTTTCACTAAGACTTCATAATAAACATTAATAATTAAAAATAATAAAAACAGCTATCTGCCACTCTGGCCTCCCAAACTCTCTAGCTCTTTTACTCTGGGAAAATCGGAGTTGACGGAGTCATTGATATCCTATCAATTTTCCTACATACAGTAGAGACACTGATCTTTTCATGGGAAAAACTGAACCTGGTGCTATAGTCATGGAGATGGTTTAGTACTATTTTGATGAACCCTTGATTTTAATTCTTGAAGAGTAATTTTTAGTCCTCTACAATAAAGTCTGAGGTTGATGTGACTGATCCACTAATCACTATGCACAATTTATAAGCTTACGACCAACCAACATGACATACAAGCAGTAAAGTTTGGGAATAATTGTAATTCAGACAAAAGCACGAACTTGAGACAAAAGAAAACACACAGCAGCAGACTGATTATTGTGAGATGCTCAACATGCTGTATGAAAGTAAATGTAATCCTGCCAACATTTTAGAAAGTCAAAATCTGACATAAAAAAGACTATTAGATATAACTGAAGAGATGAGCAGATGTTACATTACACATAGAATGATTCAATGCAGATTTTGCAGACAATAAGGGCGTAATATTAGAGATCTGTAATGCATTAACAAAATTAAATTGGAAATTTAGTATGATGTAGAAAGATGAATTTGAAGAACACCCCATAAAGGCTACACCAAAGTTAAGGAGGGTAGAAAAATGATCATGGTTATTACATACTGATAAATAGAGCCAGCAGAGAACATTCCAAGAATACACAAGGCTTATATGATTGATATACTTTAATCAAGTGTTGCTGATCCGAAGTTAGAACCCCAGGTGTAGGTGTGTCACTGCTCTGGGATGTCCAAAGTTTCAGTTTTGTTGCTATTCTGGACACCCTAACTGATACGTATATTCAATGCAAGTTCAAATATGGCAAGCTCTGGTCCTAAAATGTAGAACTATACCTGAATGGGGGTTCTAAAACATAGGATGAATCATTTTGATTTACTAGGACCTCTAGTATTAACAGTATTCTCAAAATGAAAGAGCTGATAAAATCATCCAAATACACAGTTTTCTTTTCTAGCCCCAGTTCAGTTACTGAACAAAAGTCATTTAGAATCATTAGAATATGCTGTGCATTTAGCTAGGCTCCTTTTTTCTAATTAAAAAATTAGGCCTAGTCTGGGTAGCTATATATTTACAGTATATACTGTATTAAGGTATCGGTGCTTAATAGGTGACATTCAGTCACTTCTAAACAAACTGACCATCATAAGATCTTGTTTTTTTCTTTTGGTGTCAACCTTAACCCATAAACTATGAATATAAAATAACAAACTGTTAATGTGGAATCTGGTTTTTCACCTGTACTTGCAGTCTGGAAAATGTGTAAATAAATAAAAAAAAATCCTTGGCAAATTAACTTTTCATCTGAAAGTCAGTTATATATTTTGATCTTTCATACTATATAAAATGTCTAACTATCACCCAGATTTGCAAATTACAACCGGTGGGGGCTTGTAAAAGAAGAGTATATATTCTTACCATTCTGGCAGCCAATGTGTTGCAAAGTGCTGTTCTCTGGCTATTGCAAGTATTCGATCCTTTGAGTGGATCATATACCTGTTTATCCTGCAGAGCACTATGGTTCCCCCCAACCAACACGTATGTCCTGTAGTGATGTATTAGCAGCTGGGTGAAACTACAATGCTATGGAGGAGCATGTAGTCCACACACCAGCATTTGAGCACATTGGCCACCGGTAGGGTAAGCATACTCACTCTTGTTTTTACAGGCATGCAGTTGGATCCCTATGCTGACAGAGGTAATTTATTTTAAATACTACCTAACAATATCCTGTTAAAAGTCCTGGAGTCCTGATAAACATTTACCTGTGTAGTCCAGAATTAATAAGTATTTTGGTGTATGCTTCATTGGTGTCCTTATTTGTAAGATCGCTACAACATATATCTTTAAAAATATACCTAAATAGGGAACCTTCTACCTTACATTGTAAGATTTCTTAGCAAGCCATTTTTTAAAATCTAATTCACTTTCAGAAACCAGTTTGATAAGTTGCTATCAGATAATTGGAGTCTTACTAACCTGTATTAGTTGAGCTGCAATCTCTGGTGTCCCATTGCGCACATCATGACCATTGATGGCTAAAACTCGATCATTTTCCTGCAGGTAACCGTCTCGAGCAGCAACACCTCCTTCCAGCAAGTTAAAAATAAATATTCCTGGCTCATCCCGTTTACGGACCAACTTTATCCCAAGCTGCACGTCTTGACTGCTTTTACTTAGGACAACATGGATGCTGTCATCCCGGGGGGTTTGTGACTCTGTACTGATGCCATTACTCCTACATTTGTATCTCTGCTCCCTGAGAACTGTAAGCTTCAACACCTGACAGGGCTGTCTGAGGACGGAAAGTGCATAAGTGTGAGGTACATTGCTGATGTCGATGCCATTGACCTACAAAACACAAGATTGGAAGAAGAATTATTATAGCATATTATTTTGAGTTAGTAAAAACCTTCATAACAGAGCAGTTACTGAGTGCTGGCCTAATTCCGAGCTAAAGTGCAAATAGATTTAGGAAGGAGCTTTTTAGTGGAGAATAATAATAAGTTAATGCATGGAATATCAAAAGATTTATATGCTGTAAAGGAAAACAAAAATGGCTAAGAATGATTGCAGCGCAGAATTATGCAGACCAGTCACCTAAATACAACTTAAAAAAGGTAAAGGAGATCAATCACAGCATACACTTTCATTTTAGAATATCAGGATTGCAACAGCAATAGGAACAAGTTATTTTTGACAATCCAATATAAACTTACTTCAAAAAATCACCTTAAGACCTGGCTCACATTGATATGGTGTGGGAAACAATGCAAATCCTGTGCATTTCCCACACCGCATGGCAATCGTATGGCATTCGAGATCTGGTGCGGGCATCAATGTTAAATTAATGACACCCCGAAACAGATTGCAAAATACAGTGTGATTGCCAGAAATTGCATTGCATGGGTGAGAACGATTCAGGTGCGGGTAAAAAAAAAAAAAGGGTCCTGCACCTCTATGGTGCGAATGCGATGCAATTTGAGCCATACAAAATGAGCCATACAAAGTGTGTATACTAAACCTACAAATATAATGCATGACTGAGGAGGAGCTGATTGGTGACCTACCCTACCAGCATCTGCCCATGGCCCAAATCAAGTTTTGGCTGAACCGATCATTAAAACATCCTTTTTGGTCTCCAAACTGCAGCACATAGCCCAGATGTGGTCCTTTTGCTTGCCTTTATCTGGCCCTCGGGGCACTTTTCCTCCCACTGATACAAGATACTATTTCTTTCCTCCCACCAACAATGGGGCATAATTACTGCTACTAACGTCAACAGTGAGGCACTAATTCTCCCACTGACACCAACGATAGGGCACTATTCCTCCCACTGACACCATTGATGAGGCACTATTTCCCTCCACTGTCACCAACAATAGGATACTATTCCTCCCACCGACACAAATGATTGGGCACTATTCCTGCCACCGACACCAATGATGGGGCACTATTTCCCCCCAATTACACCAACAATAGGACACTATTCCTTAAACTGACACCAATGATGGGGCACTATTCCTCCCACTGACACCAACAATTTGGCACTATTCCTCCCACTTACACAAATGAAGAGGCGCTATTCCTCCCCCTAATAACAAAGATGCATTGTTTACCCCCACTGATGCTGGGACAATTTCTACTCCCAATGGCAACAGTTTGGCCCCCCGAAATTCTGATGGACAGTAAACTGGCCCTATGTTTAGAAAGTTTGGAGACCCCTGCTTTAAAAGATAGAGGAGTACAAAAGTTGTCATTAATGATTTCTTTCTGAAAATACTAGCTAATCAGCACTATCAGAGGTGCATTTCTAGCCCTGTGTGTATGCTACTGCTTCACCAAATTAAACTTACACAGGGCTTTGCTGGTGGCTGAGAGGAGCTCATACCGATTTATTTATGACTGGTATTTATTTATCACTGACAATATATACAATACTAAATATTTGACAGCGTTAAAGCTGAACATTATTTTTTTTGGTTTCAGCTTGCAGCAACAAACATATTAGTTAAGTGTAACGGTGTGTATGTCATTACCTGTAGGTGGCTGCTTCTGGTAAACATTTTCCCCTGCAGTGTCCCCTTCATAGCTGCCACATACTACCCTGAGTGTCTATATTCTGACTTTATGAGAGTTAACAGCAGTTGCTGCTACTGAGAAAAGTTGTGTCACTTGCCCTCACCTTTCTGCCCTCTCTGCCATTCACAAAACTGATATTACTATTCTCCCAACGTGCATCATTTTCTGTGAATGGCCGGTGAAGATCCGGTCATTCAAATGCTCCTCCTCCATTCACAGAATGCAATGCATGGTGTGAGAACAGTAATATGAGTTTTGTGAATGAAAATGGCGGGCAATTGGTGCAACTTTTCTCAGTAGCAGTGGCTGCTGTTAACCTTTTATAGCACTGGAAGACAGTTGCTCAGGACAATATTAAACCAATGTGAAGGAGGCAGAAGGTATGCAGCTGTATGCAGTTAATGGGAAATGCTTCATTATATACAGTATACCTAATGTGTTTGGTGTTGTACCCCCCCCCCCCAAAAAAAAGAAAAAACACTTTAGCTTTAAAGTATACATTTTGTATTGTTAAAGGTATACATTAAAGTCTGGGAAGGTCCACAAAAACGTGATTCTATTGATTTGCCCTACATAGACTAAACACAGATTCACTTTCAGCATAGTGAATATCCACATTGCAATCTCCAGTTCCGTTTTCCTTACATTTTGCTGCACTAGGCTAACACAATTGTTCTATTTAATATTGGACTGGGCTTTTTTTTTGGTGCTTTGTTTGTTTCTTTGTCTTTTATAAATATTAAATTCCACTTTTTTATAGTATAAATTCATAACTTTATTTTTACATAAGTTACATTTTTTTTTTATTATATTGACGTGGATAATGTCTCTTACAATCTATGTATAGTGATGTTCCCTCTTCTCGACATTAAACAGTTAAACATCACATCAATTTTTCACTCACCTGCCCCATGCCGTCATTCTTTCCACATATATTTAACTTTAAAATGAGCTAAGTCCTTCTCATTTCTCAGATGACTGTATCACAGAAAATCTGAGCAGTCAGCTATTTGGGTAAAGATACAAAGCCACTCATGCCTTGCATATTAGAATGATTAGAAGAAGGTTTTTATGGCTGAAAATCCCATGGAAAACATGATGAAATATGATCAAATATTACATATTTCAGGAGACCCAGATGAACTCTATTTTCTTCTTTGGTAATTTAAATGTCTTTTGGCAAAGGCTACATGCTAGGTTTTTTGTTTAGAATGTGTGTATAAAATGTGGACTCCTTACATTAGTGGTATCATATGTATGAACGTATCAATTAAGCAATACAGAGTGTAAGTAAATTAAACAGGGGCACCAATAGTACTTAGAGAGATTTCCCAATAAAGGACTTAAGTTTCACTTTTATGATGAGGTATTTTAAGCCTTATTCTAGCAGAACGTTACACTCTCAATCATCATTAACTATTTTTAATTCTTATGCTGCTAGCATTAGAAAATAGATAGAAAATAGATAGGAAAGTATATTGTATTTACCTGTTTAAGCCTTTCTTTTACATTTTTTTAGTTGCTTCCTGTTTTCTAGCCTAGGCCAAAATGATGTCATACATCCCAGGAGTCTTTATGGGCATTTTTTTTTCATTTTCATCTGGAGGAGGGGTTTTCTCAGCTAAGCACCTCCCCCCCCCTGTATGTCAGAGCTATGGACAGCTGGATTCCAGGCTATATTTTCATCTGATGATCCTGCCAGTAACACATTTCCTGTTCAGGAGTGAAAACTTTCACTTCCTGTACTCTATCTATGGAGGAACAATGCTGTCACCCTACAACAGGAAATCTATTCGGGCTACAGAACATCTCCCCAACTGTTCATCTCCATAACATAGGGGAAGGAGATTTCAGAGACAGCAGGGGATAATAATCACTTTGATAGGTAATTGTTTTTGCACTTATAGTGTACCAGAGTAAGAGGTGAGTGGGAATCTTCCAGTGGGGGCACCTGTTCTTAAAACAACTCTCTAAGATTGGGGAGATTTCCTGTTGCATCTGCAGAATAGGAGGTAATAAGAAATCTTCCCAGCAGGACATGGGCGTAAAAAAACAAACAAACAAACCTTTCCCCTTTTCTACCCAAAACTGAAAAAGTTTTTATTTATATACAGTTTAAGAATTTTCAGTAAAGTAGTTAATTCAAGTATTCATGTGATGCCAGCCTACTTAAGGGATAACTCTCCTATCAATGAAAAAATCTAGCAATAAAAAAAAAAAAAACACATGCAATTGCTACACAAGCCATTTTGTGATATAATGTTAATGGGAGCTTCTTCTTTTCTGATCCAGTGTAAGCTGTAATATACACTATAATAGCTGTTCACATAGAAAGTAAAAAGAACAGCTAAATATATTTATTGGTGTTTTATATTAATATGAACATTTTGCTTTGGAATTATTTTAGATAAATACATACGATATTTATCTGCAAGAAGTATGCATGTTCTCCCTGTGCTTGCCTAAGTTTCCTCTGGGTACTCCGGTTTCCTCCCACACTCCAAAAGTCATGCCGGTAGATTTATCGACTCCTGTCCTAATAAGTTCTACTATGTGAGTGTATGTGTGTGCATGTTAAATAGGGACTATAGATTTTAAGCTCCTTGAGGGCAGGGACTGTTACCACTATATTTATACCTGTCATCGTTAAATTATAAATAGATATTTACCTAAAATGACTTTATTCAGAAAAGTTCAGAAAAGGAGTTCTCCAATTCAAAGATTGTCATTGTGGTTTTATTGTACAAAAATAAAAAAAAAACATATATTCCTATTTCTGTTCTGTGATGATAATAAAGAGATGTCAAGGAATGCTGGGGTATGTAGTCAACCAGCAGCTGTGCAGCTGCATGATACCTAAGCCTTGTCCTCAGCATACGTGATTGAAGAAACATTAAAGGCATCAACAGATCTTGAGATCAGAGAGAGATGTTGAGAAAGGCATCTTGCTGGGTTGAGTGCCTGGAGCTAGAACCAGCATAAATAAAGCTAGCATTTGTATTGATTCTATGTGCATAGCACACACTGTCTTTATACAAACTTGTATTCCTTCTTATCCCCAGAAAGTTTAAATGGCCAGATGTATACACAAAGGCATGATAGTACTTCCACAAGTTAAACAACGCAGGGGGCTTGAGAAGAAGAAACAATACGGGAGGTTTGAGAGTGAGAGTCACAGCTATATAAAGTAGTATTTAACAATAAATGTTACTGGACATCAGTGGATGGTACTTAGTAAATTGTTGCTGTCAGACATTGCTCACACAACCCACCATCCCCACTGGGAAGAAGACTTCCATACAGTAGTTATGTCTCACCTTCTCTTACAAGGCAACAATGGGGTTACTCTCTTGCAGCTGTATTCTCCAATATTTTACATTTCAGAGAATCCACCAGGACAGCATATCACCATTTCTGTAATGGAGTTGGGTGAAATTGGATATTCAGATCACCCTTCACCTTTTTATCTCTTGGACACTGCAATAGAAAGACTATTCCACAGCAGTTTATGTCTAAACCTGCTTCTACAAGACCAAAATGGCTGCTGGATTCCACAATATTTTTCATTTTTATTTATTATGGATTACATATTATGGCATTGTAATGGAGTTGGGTAAAACCAGGTATTCAAGTATAGATATCTCAAGACTAGGGTAACCAAGAAGCCAGCATGTCCTTGAACTTACCTGCAACCAGATAAAACTCAGATATCAGTTCTGCCTTCAATAGATACAAATTAGTGCATAGTAAAAGCATCTATGTTGATTTTAGTAAATAGTATGAAATTAGCAGATAACCCTTTTATTTTTTTTCCCATTAAAATAGGCACAAAATGAGGAATGACTGATTCAAGAAAAGAGCAAAACTGACTTGAGTCAACTGGAGGTTAGTGTTATGAGGCATCAATGGATTTTGACAATTTTTATGTAACCGTAGGTATATTTATGCAAGCAGAAAACTGTAAATGTACGTACTAGCAGTGAATTATACTATTACTTTATTTGCATTATTGTAAATACAGAATAAAAATGATGTTACAGTATTTACCTGGCTTCTTCCACAAAAGAAACATGCTCTCCAGATGTGGAAGAAAATAATAAGGCTGATTTCTGTGGTAACCTGGGACATTTTATATTAAAAGCAATAATAATGTGATGGTCTTCAAAAAGTTAAAATAAGGCTAAGGTGCGGGACTGGCATACAACAATGGCTTTTGGTGACTGCTCCTATTTTTATTGTTTTAGAGTGTAAATTATTTTACTGTTTATAAGAGAAGTAAGGATTTTGTCTTTTTCATAACCCAGCCAAACAAATATAAGACAAAATATACGAAACTATCTAATAAAACAGTCCAGAGGCACAAATAGTTTTAGCTACAGGTTCTCCTTCTCTCTTGAGGAGCTGATAAAAGTTGCATCCACTTTGCATAGGTGTGAATGACATTCCCTTTCTTCATTCAGACAAATGTGGGGGTATTGGTCATCTAAAAAATATTGTGTTTAGCAGTTTTTGAAGGGGGAGGGGAGCTAATCATAGCAGAACTATGTTGAGTTGATTTTGGATTTTTCTGTTTAACACAGGCTAAAGGAAGTATTAAAGAAGTCTCAAAACATTGAATTTGAAGCACTGTTTTGTCTATAAATAGGGTACAAAAGGAAACTCACCTTTAAGATCATGTCTCCAGGAAGGAGCCTCCCATCACGAGCAATGACACCATCCTGATAGATATGTTGTATGATGATTTGAGTCAGAGGGGTTTCATTTCCACCCACAATCCTAATTCCAAGACATTCATTGGGATCAGAGCGATTGATTTTAATGCAGGTTATCTCTCCATCAGGAATAAGATGTGACAGATTCGGCAGAACTGGGAGACATAAATATAGGGTAAAGTTAAGTCAGAAGGATTTTTCTCATAATTACTGTAGTAAGCTAAGTCAATATAGAAAAAATATCTGGCATCAATTTTTAATATTAATTCTACAACATCTTCAGAGATTTACAATCAAATGCCCTTGGAGTCTGCTGGGGAAGAGAAATAATACTAGTTTATGAACATTTCCCTTTCATTAAATTTTCATTCAAGAAATTTTGCAAAAAAGTATAAAAAGATACAAAAACTTTATCAAATAGATGTCAAAAGATGGATGTGCCCTCAAGCATGGTCAGGGGCCAGCACGTCTCAGTCAAGTTACATATAGACAATAAAAGAACCAAATATCCAGACAGGCAGGCTCTGCCAAACTGAACAGTAGCATACCAAGGGTGCAGAGCTCAACAATTGTAATTCCCCAATTACAATAGAATAAAGTCGTGACTCCACAGATGTGTGTTATTAAACTGCAATTCAAGTATTGCCCCTGCTATACTGAAAGCCTAAATATATGTGAGGTCGGGAAAGGCTCTATGGCCCCCACATTGGCCTCCACAATGGGATCCATATAAAAATTATCAAGGTCATAAAGAAAATGAGAAAAGAGCAAAGAAGAGGGGAAAAACAGAGAAAAAGATGGAGATGGGTCCCCTCGACCCAGGCATCTAACTCCTGGTTACTAAGGAGCTTAAAGGTATTTAATCCAGGGATTCTACACTTTTTCAAACCTGACTTGTTTATCCATAAGGATATTGGTCAATTTTTCATTAATCATAATCCAAGAAATTTTGTGTTTGACCAATGCAACATTAACCATGGGTGATTTCCACGTTCGCACTATGGTAATTTTAGCTGCTGGAAAAATGAAGAAGATGAGGGTTCAGAGATGTCTGGGGATCTCATCCGACAGATTGGTGAACAACACTGTTTTGGCATTTTTGGGTATGTTCATCCCTGTCACTGAATAGGTAAGATTGAGTATTCTGATCCAGAATCACTGAACCTTCAGACAAGACCACCAGACATGAAACAAATTGCCCTATTGCCTGCATCCTTGAAAGCACAGGGGCAAGGTGGCAGGGTAGATATTTTCCAACATTGTCGGAACAAGGTACCAATGGGACAACACCTTGTAATTTGGTTCTACTAGGGAGGTAATCTCCTTATTCTCCTGTGCACTGTGGTCAACCAATATATCCAATTCTCTATAGCTTCACCCAGGTTTGACTCCCATGCTGTTTGATTTTTCAAATAAAGTCCTAGTGGACATACAGTATCCACCTGGTCCCTATGTAGTGTTTGTAAGAAATTAGTGATTTAGGGGGGGCACTGGTGTCCCGCTTTTTTGATGATTTTGCCACCTGGCTACCCTACTTTCTCTCCTCTGAACTACCCACTATCATTCTCAGAGATTTTAACATCCCTATTAATGTCAACAACCCCGGCTACATACCAACTCCTCAACCTAATCTCATCTTTTGCATTAGCAGTGTATACAGTCCTCCACTCACTCTGATGGGAATACATTAGACCTTGGTTTCTCCCATCTCTGCCTTCCCTACAACCTCACAAACACCCCCTCTCCTCTCTCTTTATCACAATCTTATCACCTTCACAGTGTCCTCGCCTTCAAACACCTATTCCTCCAAGCAGCAAACAATTAACCGCAGAAACCTTCACAACTTGAACCCTGCTCCTTTCCACTCTGCACCTGACCAACTCTATGACAGAATCTCGCCCCTGTCCTGCCCTGACCTGGCCACTGCTGTCTACAACAATTTGCTTTCATCTGCATTAGACTCACTTGCTCCTCTCACAACAAGAAGCATCAGGCCCCGACCGTTACAACCTTGGCAGACTGACGACACCAGAAATCTTAAACGACATAGTCGTGCTCTGGAGCGATTGTGGCGTAAAACCAAATCCCAGCAAGCATTCACTTGATGTAAATCTGCTTTCTTAACATACAATTCTTCCCTTCATGCTGCCAAACAAGCCTACTTTGTCACTCTTATTAATACCTTGGCATCCAGTCCTCGTCGTTTCTTCTCTTCTTTTAACTCTCTACTTTCTCCACCTCCACCCAGTACCTCACTCACTGCTCATGAGATTGCAAATCATTTCAAAAACAAGATTGATGCAATTCTTAGGGGCATCGCCACTGCACACACATCCATCCCACTTAGCATACCTTATACTAAACCTCCCTCAACACTTTCCTCTTTTGACCTTGCTACTACCGAAGAGGTCTCAGAAGCCCGTCTCACTACCTGCCCCCTGGATCCTGTCCCCTCACAACTACTACGGTAACCCTCTTCTTCCATCCTATGCTCCCTCACTCACATCTTCAATCTTTCCCTCTTTCCCTCTCTACTGGTGCCTTCCCCTCCCCTCTATAGTATGCACACATCACTCCCATACTCAAAAAGCCCTCCCTGGACCCCACCAACCTGAACAACTTAAGACCCATCTCCCTGCTGCCATTTACCTCTAAACTCTTAGAACGCTTAGTCTACAATCGCCTGAGCTCCCACCTCATTGACAACAACCTTCTTGACCCTTTACAGTCTGGCTTTTGCTCACTACACTCCACTGAAACTGCCCTACTAAAACTCACTAATGATCTACTAACAGCTAAAACCAATGGCCACTACTCTGTACTCTTACTACTTGACCTCTCTGCGGCTTTTGATACGGATGACCATCCCCTCCTCCTGAAAAAACTCCTCTCTCTTGGCCTCAGAGACTCTGCTCTCTCCTGGTTCTCCACCTACCTATCGCAGCGCTCCTTCAGCGTTACCTATAACGCTGCTTCCTCCTCTTTACTCCCTCTTTCTGTAGGGGTCCCTCAATTTTCTGTCCTTGGACCCTTTCTCTTCTCTATCTACACCTCCTCCCTTGGTCACTTGATAAACTCCCATGGCTTTAAGTACCATCTCTATGCTGATGACACACAAATCTATCTTTTTACCCTTCACTTCACCCCTTCAGTCTCCTCACGCATTACTAACCTACTAAGGGACATATCAGCATGGATGTCACTCCACTTCCTCAAACTCAATATTTCCAAAACTGAGCTCTTAGTATTCCCCCCAGCCCGTGCCCCCTCCCCTGACTTCTCCATCAAGATCAAAAACACAATCATCAGTCCCTCCCCTCATGCCAGGGTATTAGGTGTAATCCTAGACTCCCATCTGTCCTTTCACCCCCAAATCCAATCACTGTCCAAATCTTGTAGACTTCACCTCCAAAACATCTCCAAGATACGACCGTTCCTAACCTCGGAAACCACTAAGCAACTTATTCACTCCCTTGTTATATCTCACCTTGACTATTGCAACTCCCTTCTCATTGGCCTACCTCATCGTAGGCTATCCCCTCTTCAGCTGCCAGACTTATCCACATTACTAACCATTCTGTATCTGCCACCCCTCTCTGCCAATCCCTCTACTGGCTTCCCGTTGCCCAACGGATAAAATTTAAAACATTAACAATAACCTATAAAGCCATTTATAATTCTGCCCCAAATTACATCAACGATCTTGTCTCTAAATATCACCCTAACCGTACTCTCTGCTCCTCGCAAGACCTCCTGCTCTCTATCTCCCTTGTCTCCTCTTCCCATGCTTGTCTCCAGGACTTTTCCAGAGCTTCCCCCATCCTCTGGAACTCTCTACCCCAATTTATTAGACTATCACCTACTCTACTCACTTTTAGGCGATCTCTGAAAACCTATCTCTTCAAGGAAGCCTATCCTGCCCTTAACTAATAATGGAATCTTCTACTCCTCCAACCAGTCCATCCCCCACAGTTACTACCTTTTGTACCACTAGCCCCTCCCTCCTAGATTGTAAGCTCCAAGGAACAGGGCCCTCCTTTCCCTCTTGTATTGAACTGTATTGTTGCTGTATTGTCTCCCGTATATTGTAAAGCGCTGAGAAAACTGTTGGCGCTATATAAATCCTGTATACTAATAATAATAATTTAACACAAGTGGAAGTGTGGCGGGCATCCGAAACATTTGTAAAAAGTAGAAAGACTGTCTGATCCCTCTATGATCTATAAAATGCACTATCCTATAGCGTCCCTTATGGACCCACCAGGCAAACTGATGGAGATTCTGCCCTGGGGGAAATAAGGATTATTAAAAAGAGGGGCCACCAGTGTGTGAGGTGATTTCAAAGGATATAGTTTGCACGCTGTGTCCCAGAGATGTAGAGAATGTGACAAAGAGGGGCTCAAAATAGACCGATGCTCCCTGTGAGGGAGCCATAACAGGAGGCCTATTGGGAGTGGGGAAACTATGTTATCTCAGGTATTTTTGACCATTACATCGACTATAATCACAAAAGAATGTTTGTGGAATCCATGCAACAAAATTGTTTTGAGATGAAAATAAGGCCCTACCCAGTATTAGTATAGTGTTCCTAATAAATTGCTCAATGATTATATAGGACTGCTGTATCTAGATAAACTGAAGGTGGAAGATATTTGAAATGTCTTTCCTGTGTTTTGTTTATAATTTAGTTCCAGTGCCACTACAATGTCCTGTGCCCTGGCAATAGGCTGCGGATAGAGACCACAGTGCTTTTGTGAGAAACCAGTCTGACATTGTTATGTCTTTGCCTCTGCTTCGTTGTGTTTTCCTGGGCAGGAAGCATGAATGTTGCTGCTTTCAGGGTTTTTATAGTAAGGAATGCAAGTGCTGGACCAGCTGCAGATAGACCTCTGATGTCACACACAGCACAGCGGTCTGAATTTGCAACCTATTTCTGGGGCTGGGGATTTTCTACTGGAATTGATGCTGAATCACAAGCATAACACAAGCAAGACATTTAAAATATACAATTTCTTGCACCTTTAATACATGTAGACACTATTTCAGTGAACTTCAATATAGTCCATATAAATAATTTTTTCTCAGATTTGAGTCTTGTGCTTTATAAATAAAATATAGCAAAAAAAATTAGTAATAAAAAAATAATGATACTGTATCCTGTTCAATAAATCTAGTGGGCCATCGTTAGGATTTGGATCACCTGTATGGTTCCCAAACCTGAAGGGTGTAGTCCCAGCGTCCCCCAGCAGACAGAAGATCTGCTGGCTGCTGGAAGGGTATTTAGCTCCCTCTCCAAGTTTTCACAATGCCTTATAATTTTTCATATGTGTCCAAACTGCCTGATTGCTGCCTTGAATCCAGTGATCCTGATCCTTTACCTGTGCCTTCTATCTGTTACTCTGACCATTGCTGCCTCATACCTGTCACCCTAACCCAACTACCTTGTACATATTCCCACTACTTGAACCTGTAACCCTGATCCTGTTGCCTCCACAAATTCCACTTGTACCAGATCCTTGCTATGCCACCATTCCTGACTTCTTACCCAGTGCCCCATGCCCTCTCCCACTTGACCCAGTCTTACCTGATCTCTCCCTCTGCTTTGTATATAATTTAGAATAGTTAGTTTCTCACTAGGTTTTACTCATCACATGTGTTTCACTATTGTTGGTATTTGTTTCAGCTATTGTGGGTTTTTTTGCCACAAGCTATGTTCCTAATAAATCTGGTTTGCACTTAGTTTGAATCCTGTTTCCTCTGTGCAGCTGCACTGATCCGGCTACACCTGCTTTTGCAGGATACCAGCACTTGGTATTGTAACAACCATCATGTCTTCTGCCTCCAGATTCTTCCCAATAACTCTTTGATACCACGTGTTGTGGTTATAAAAAGTCTAACTTTGAATTCCCATTGGGAGCTATTAGCCAGCACTTGTGCTGCAGCATTAATATCTGCCAAGCATAGAATATAAGATAAATAGGACCCTCTTTTCTATCAGAAAAGCACTTGGCACTAATAGCCTACAGGTACCATCTTTTGTGTATAGGACCTTTCAGTACTTGTGTAAATGTGTAACCATGTCATGGGTTATAGAATATGGATTTTTCTCCTTTTTATACACTTATAACCAGACCTCCATTGCATTATTGCGCTAACATCCATGTATAAAGTAATAACACTATATTGTGATAGCTGGAAGATTCCTTATTGCTTTGTTTTTAGTATTTCCAGAGACTTCGATGTCTGCTATATTGTTTTTCTTCAAAATAATAAGATACCTTGTGTTTTTCTAGGACAGAAATCTAAATATATGTCCTTGTTTGACACAACTTAAATATTTTAATCATTTTTTCATGCAATATATAAGGATTGTACTGTAATTGTGTCTGTAGCTTTAGATAAGAATAAATTAAATACTTTCTAGATTTACTTGCAGCATGGCCTTTGTGTGCTTTCTGTGGATCTTGGCCTTCAATAAAGCTTTTCAGAGAATACAGCAAGCAGCAGAACCCCTGGGGGTGTATATATTGCTCGACCACCCACGTCAGGTGACCCAAAACATTTAACACACTCTTCCTGGATTAACTAATGATTAGTAAGCCGTGGTAAATCATAAATGTTAAAACCCAATTGAACCCTCAATGTTTATTACTGTAATAATGCAGCAGGACTGCATAAACAGTAATGCATTTGGGCCTTTTACTTTTCTTTTAACACTGGTAAGTTCTGTAACAAGGTTTAAATACCTTCCCCAGACATCCAACACTGCACATCTAAAGTAACCCACAGACAGACAGATGTCTCACTAAGAAGAGCAGATGTTGAAATGTCTGCTGATCTTCAAACACACAGCTAAGCCAATGAGACCCAATGTGATATTTTTCCTGAGTCAGTTCATGGAGGAATATTTTATTCTCAATTTTTTACAGAAAAACAAGTAGTAACATCTTTGTATGATAATGAACTGTTTTGAAAGCATTCACAGGGGTTGATTTTCTAAAGGCAAATAGTCTGTGCACTTCGCAAGTACAGTTGCACTCTGCAAAGGCATTTACTCCAGAGCCTAGTAAATAAAGTGAAGCTTCACTTTGCAAAGAATACTCAATTACATAGAAACAAGAAAAATAAACAGCATTTAGCTTGCACATGTGTGAATAATAGATGTCAGCAGAACTCCCCTCATTTACTAAGCTCTGGAGCAAGTGCCCTTGCAGAACGCAGTCTATATTCGTTTAGTAAATCAACTTTATTATAACACTCTATGAAAACACATGTTCTAGACCTTGCCTGCTCATCACAAGCAACCCTGGAATTGCACTTATCAGTTGCAACAATTGGACTTTGCATGTCACCCTGTGCAGTGGCGTCCCAAGGCAGGTGCGGGGGGTGCAGCTCGCAACGGCTGACACCGACCGCACGGGGTGACACTGGACCCGCTCCACGAAAAGGTAAGTTGTAAAGCAAGCCAACGATTAACGCAGAATGGATCCGATCCATCCTGCGGGGATCGTCGGCTTTCTTTACAACTTACCTTTTCTTGGAGCGGGTTTTGGTGTCCCCCGTATAGGTTGTATGCCGACAATCCCCGTAGGATGGATCGGATCTGCGAATTGAGGAGCATAATGGATCAGACTCCGATCCATTATGCTCAATCCTCAGATCCGAACCATCCTGCGGGGATCATCGGCATGCAACCTATACGGGGTGACACCAAACCCGCTCCAAGAAAAGGTAAGTTGTAAAGAAAGCCGACGATCCCCGCAGGATGGATCGGATCTGCGGATTGAGCAGAATGGATCAAATTCCAATCCATTATGCTCAATCCGCAGATCCAATCCATTCTGCGGGGATCATCAGAGGGGGTGTCACCAAGTGTTACCGCACCGGGTGACATCAACCCTATGGACGCCTCTGACCCTGTGTGTTCCCTAGCAGTGGGCATTAAGAATGCTTTAGAGCTGGAATATTATTTAAAATGCTTGCAATGACAACTGGAACTGGATGCCAAGATACAAAAGCCTAAAAATATGAAATATATCACCAAAGTGGATGCCTGTAATTCAGAACATTACAGTATAGTAATACTATACAAACGTCAACTTTGATGGCTTGCCCACACTAGTAGAGAAACCCTTTATTTTTCAATGTAGGTGAAAATCTAAGCAATGCAGAAGGCAATGCTTTTAAACAGAACACATTCTCACATTATAAGTATTATGGTGTAAACATGTCCTCAAAGTGTCATCTTTCTAGGGCAGATTAATAGTGATGAGATTGTAAAATAAAATGAAGAAATGAAGACGCTCATTTGCTAAAATAGGGAACATAAATGCTTTCCCGTTCCAAGACTGTCATTGATCAGCTCCTTTTTGTTGTTTTTTATTAACCATATTTATGACTTTTAACTGGATGTATAAAACAATGGTTCAAACCTATACAATCTTCTGTAATATTTGCATTTTGCAGGCTTGCTCGTTCTCGGTCTGCGGAGTGTATGACGGCACTTCCACTTTTTGTTCTTCGAAGGACACTGAGTGCTCGGTTTAGCTTTTTAAATGAAAGACTCCTGACTGTGGAACGTTCAAAATTACGACCTGTAAAGAAAAAAGTATTTATGTTAGGGTACATTGTGTACAGTATATGAAGCTGAAGAAAATTCAAAACTAAATTCAAACTCCAGTACATTTAAAACCCAAGAACAATACAGTATGTATGTAATGTATGGCATGTAATGTAAAAAAACAAAGTGAATAGTGTAGCGCTGCTCCTGTAGTTATCAAGTGAACCAACACATGACCTGTGTGACAACTCCTTACATATCCATACAACTTGGGATGAAAACCAAGAGACATATATAAAATTAATAAATAAAATAAAAATACAAATAAAGATATATATATATATATATATATGTATATATATGACTACAACTGTATCACTTCCACCACCAACATAAATAATAAGGCGATTATGATAAACAATCCTTAATCGCTTTTTACATTTTAGGTAATCTTGTGCACTTATTGAGTAGACATAGCAAAACACTTTCAATCGCATATTTAGAAAACCAAAGGGGGGTATGGAAATGTTTACTGGTAGGACTTACATATGCTTTATATTAAAAATAATAGATAGGTGATATGAATAAAGCCAAAAATATAGTAAGCAAATGAACAGCATAAAAAGTACCTTATTGAGTACTAGCGGTTAAAAGCTTCCAAGATACAAGGAAAAGACTGACGCATTTCTGCCCCGGGGGGGCTTTAGTCATAGCTAAGGTGTTATCCAGGCCTAAATTCTGATGTTTCAGGTACAAACTATCCCTATTATCATTGCTGAAGAAGAATTCATTCACAGCCAGGTGGGGATTTTTACTATTTTCTTCCGTTAAAAGCATGAGCTACTACCATAGCTTATTTAAAGGGAAATGATAGTGTATTTTCAATGAGCAAATATTTTGTGTTATCATTGCACTGATGTTTGTCCTCAGGATCAGATGACATTCTGTGAATACAGTAGTTTGCAATTATGTACATGAGAGCAGCCATGATGTTTTATTACATATACGGGCTCTGCTTCCTGCTTTGCAGCAGTGCATACTATTATTCCTTCTCACTATGAAAGCCTATAGGTCTCTTTATAGATGTTTTCACCCAAGATTCACACAAGTTACACACATCCTTTTACTTAGATGCAATGGAAAAACATGTGAATCCTGGGTGAAAACAAAAGAAGGAAGCAGAGCCTCCATTCTGTATTCACAGAAGTAAGATTTTTTAAAAACCTTAACACACATAGATGTGACTATAAAACATCAAGCTGATCAATTTCAAATACAAATCTAGAAATATTTGTAAAGACTGTACATTTCCTTTAGGACTTTGATATGAAGCAGGTCTCATTTAAAAGCCATAATTAATGGCACTGTAAATAAATGCTAATAGGACATGGCACCTGTGATAGCTTTGATATTAAAAGCAATAAGTCTTAAGCAAGGTGATCATGACTTACTCCTATTCCGGTTTATTCTAAAGTGTTCTTCAGATCCAACTCCCAGATGGCTGTCTCCTGTGGGTGAGCTATATACAGGGTTGTCCTGACCTGCTTCATCATTTACTAAGGCTGCAGCTGCAGACGCAGCTGATAGTTCTGGCGACACTGCTGCTATGGTTAAGTCTAATGAAGAGCTGCAGTCTGGGGAACCATCCTGTGAACGTCTTTTGCGCTCTTTGGTAAGGCCATAGTGTGATGCACCTTTACACCTGTGAGAAAAAAAAAATATTCTGCTTTAGTGGTTATAGTTCAGCTGGAACAATCAAGTATATATGCAACACCAGAAAGATTTAATTTGTGAGGTTTATGGAAATAGGTTATTTAAAGGTTCACTTAATGATACACAAAATGTTTTCATGCAATATACCTGTCAGCCTGCCACTCTAATTCTATATCTGGCTACTTAGCTAGTTAATTCCATGTTACTGGCAAACATATTTTGTGGGAAGCCCTATGTTTCAACCTACAACAATGCTGATCAGTGTGTTCCATGGTTCCAGCATCTGCCTTTTTCTGAAACTTCGCCCACAAATATTGGAACATGGAAGGGATGCTGCATCCAGCACAGAGCTAAAATTCATGAGTCATGTGACAAGAGGATACATTTCTACCCACAAACAGCATGAGAAGCACAGTTATGTCACATGTAACGGTGAATTACGATGGCTTTCAGATGTAGTTACAATGCTTCCTAAATTACAACAGCAGTTCACTGATTTCACTGATTTCATGCAGGCTGACCCTCTTGTATATATTAAACTATATGGGATAATCAGCTTATGTGCTGCCAAGAGCAGTGAGACTGCAATGGTATCCAGTAATTGATGGTTACCAATCAGAATGTATTAAAGGAATTGCATACTGAGAGAAGTATGGAGGTGTGCCATTGCTAACTGTCTTTTGAAATTGTTAATTTCTAGTCATGCTGGTGGCAGAGGCCACCAAAGGTAACATTTTTCTGCACCTCCCCCCATTCCCTGCAGCAAAAAAATGGTCATCTCATTGGCACTGAGCTCGTACAAAGTGTGGGCTCAGCATCACTGCATCACTAAGTAAAAGACTCAAACAGGCAGGTGAAGAGGCCAGCAGCGCTGTTCATGGCGACATTGATTCTGCACTCTTAACAGGCTCAGTGTTACGTAGGAGCCTTGGTCACTGTGTGACAGGGGCAGCAGCTGTGCAGGGAGCTCAGTAACACTGAGCCTATGGTTTTACCAGACTCAGCCTTACAGAACAGTGCTGAGGCCGGAGTATGGATGTGGACACTCCAGCCTCCGTACCATAGAAGGAATGGCACTGATCATAGTATTCTAATTATTTCAATATTTTAAGTCTCTTACCTGAAACCAGGACTTAGCAAGTAAAGTCAGGACTCTAGATCTGCACACGTTCCAAGTCAGTGGCTCAGGAAGATTTGAAGCCACAGGAACACAAGTAGAAGTAGAGGACAACAATGGCAGGCTGACTAATTCTCCCAACATAGGTTTTCTTTATGTTGCGGCCACACAAGTATTACTTAGCACACATCACCCCTGTCATGCTTTCTAGCAGAAGTCAGAGTCAAAGTTATCATTACTATGGTAAAAGAACAATAGTTTTGTATAAGAAAATGGATCCTTTGTTCCCTGGTCTCAGCATGAACAGAGACAGGAGAATCTTCAGAGCTGTGGTTTTAGTGACATTTTTTCCCCATCTCTGGAGAGTCAAAATTAGTTAGGAAAGTAGATTTTTTCTTTATGTGATGCTACTGTGTATTGTGCTGGATCTTTCTCTCTTTCACTGATATGATGGATAATAATATTGATGCTCCTCCCATGCTTACCTCCAGGACTTCTCCCGAGTCTCTCCCACTTTATGGAATTCAAAATCTGTCCGACTGTCTCCTTCTCTGTCTACATTTAGACGATCCCTGAAAAGCCAGCTCTTCAAACACGCCTTTCCTGCCTCCACCTAATATCTGTACTTTATTTTCTGCATAATTGCCTTTTGTATCAATTGGCCCTCCCTTTTAGATTTTAAGCTCTTACGAGAAGGGCCCTCTGTTTCCTACTGTATTGCATTGTATTGTAATTGTACTGTATGCCCTCAACATTGTAAAGCACTGTGCAAACTCTTGGCACTATAAGAATCCTGTATAATAATAATAATGATGGTTGATATGATGGATAATGAAAGGACCAAGTCCCATTAGCCCTGGTCTGCCAATTCCTGAATGTCTGCTATGAGTTACAGAACATCATCACTACCCACATTGTCATATGAAATACACCTTGACAATGCGAAATCCTTAGTAAAGCAGTAGATGATATCCACTTGTTCAATTTGAATTTCCTGTCATTTGTGAAGGAAACGAGGACCACATGATTGTTGCACATGGTTGGCTTAGGATTCTTTGTTCCTTTAGTAAATCAATCACTGTTTTGTGTACTGCGGATTCCATTTTGGTATTATTTCCTTTCTTCATAAAAGTGTTTTTCTAGTTCATCCTTTTATGTCTTTCCAAAAAGCAGAATCTTTGTAAACATCTCATTGTGATTGTCAGATGTTTTTTCTGCATGTTATATCATCACATGAAACAAAATAAACTATTTCCAAGTAAAATAAATACTTTTACTCTGTCCCTTTTTTTCGACATCTTGGATGAATGTGTGACAGTAGAGAGGTAAATGCTCACAATGATTTGTTTGCTATTTGAACAACTAAGGACACTGGAAGCAAGCAAAACAAAAACCAACAAATTAAAAAAAGGAATATGGAAGTACGAAAACATTATCCAAATACCTGTATTCAATTAAAAGATGGTGCTGTCAGCACCACTCCACCCAATGTCCTTCAGTTGAAAAATTGAAGAAGCCAGGAAGGAAATTGTCAACAGAACAATAATTTCATCCAGTCAGATGCAAACAATGTTCCAGTATTCTGAACGATGTTGCCAGCTATCAAAATACAATAATCACCAGTGGTAGGTCTGTCAATCCCTACTATTTAGCACGATTTGAGGAATCTGTTAGATTTCTTTCATTCATTCCACAGGCTGAACAAAAGAAATCTAAAAGGTGTGTGTCCAGCTTAGGAGTTTACTGGACCTTCATTCTTTCTATAGAGTATTCAAGAACACAATGACCACTGGAATAGTTATGGGAGGACAGATTAGGTAAGAACTTGTGTTGCCTCTATCAAAGATCCAGGTGTCACTTAGCAGCAAATGCCTTGTGCCAGCAAAAACAAACTATAAGGGTGATATATTTCCAATAAAGTGAGTTTATGGTGAATGCAATAATTGATTCTAGGGAGGGGCAAAATTAAATATTAGCCATGATGTGTCCTGATTAATAATAACACAATTATCTTAAAAAATTTTGAGAGGATTTTTATGTGAGTTATGTTGGCTATGATATGGCCAATTCATATTCCTCTCTAATATGAGACCTGAAAATGGCAGCTTGGGGGCCCTGAGGCTGTTCACTTTGCCAAGAAAATTTCCCTTAGCTTAGTGAATGTGGTGAAAATTTTCTTCCCTTTGCCATTAGAAAATGAATCCCATAGTATCCACAAGCTATGGAGAGACCTAGGATCTTCTGTTTTTTATCCTATTTTGAGCAGATCAAATTAAAGTAAACCAGACATGAAAAATATGGGGTCTGCCATTGCTGACCTTATTCTTTAAACAGTAGTTGGTTGTGACTCCCTGGATTCAATACATTCTGACCTAGAACAAGTATGTGGATTAGGAAAGTCAAAGAAAAATTGGGAATCCTTATCTGCATGGCTGTTTTGAGTCATTGACATAAACAGTTATGAAGCCAGTAGGTCAACTTAACAGCCAAATAGGTAGAATTTTAGGAGATCTTCATGCATAGTTTAAGCTCGATATTCCTTAAGAGTGTTCTGCCACCCGTTTATTTCTGTGCAGACTAATCGTAACATCAGGTTACGTTCTTTGCATACTTTCTGGAGATCTTGGTCAACCAGGGCAAGTGGATACACTGGACTGTGGTTTGGAGATAATCATTCACTGGAATATTTACATGGTAACAGAATAGCATACTCCAAATAGTGCTTGCTCTTGGTGGACACCAAAGTCAACAATTATACAAGAATGTTGTCAAATTAAATACATTGACTTTGTACTGCCTAAACCTTACAGTGTAAGGCAAATGGCATATGAAGAGATGCAGTCATGATGCAAATATTTTAAAGATAGCGTGTTAGTCCAAAATAACAAAACATTTTCAGTTAGTCTAATCAAAGGAAAATAACACCGATGCAAAAAGTTCATTTCCTCTCCAGCCACAGGTGAATCATGTAACCAGAAAACAGGAGGACTGCATACCGATGGCAATCTAGGCATAACACCAACTTTATCCAGGCCACACATACCACACATGCTGGTGAGTCCTGCCTTGAAAACCTGCTTTGACGCATTTCACTCCTCTCTACTAATAAGTCCATATGTGTGATACACATCAGTGTGGGGGATTCCAAGGCATTACTCAGTACCATGTAAGCATGGCCTAAATAAAATTGGTTATAAGCCTAGTGATGTCTTCGGCGTATGACCCTCTTGCTTTCTGGTTACAAAGCATTTTCAGTGGTACATTTTCCCAACCAAAAAGAACAAATAAAGGATGTTACAAGTTACAGTATGAATACACATGAATAAGAAACAATATCTGAACCTAGGTGCAGTTTAAAGCCATAATACACACAGAAACAAAAATGTTATATATTGTAGCTTACCAATCCTTAAATGTGGTGGCTGTATTTATTTCTATTTTAGTTTTTTCCTTTATTTTCAGCTGACGATCTGTGGTGGAAAGAATGAAAATTGCATAATTTATGGGCTGCTTTAGGCCCATTTATTTAGGATTCCCCCATCAACACAATCAGTGTTGATGGGAGGAATCCTTCCTGCAAAGCTATTTTGTTCTCATGACGGGGGGCACGAGGAGCCATCCCTGCTGAGAGAAAACAACGTTTATTGTATTGCCCCTGGCAATAATCACATGCTAAAGATCCAACATGCTGGCTATACCCAAGTCGATTGATGGATCAACTTGGGTACAATCAGATTCCCATAGAAGGATCAAATCTCAGCTAGTCCTTCCATCTATGGCCGGTTTTAGAGCATCTCCCCTCTGGATAGAAGAGAAATGGACACCCATAGACAGCAGTATTGTTGTAGGAGATGGGTAGAGTTAGATGCACTAGACCAGGGGTCTCCAAGCTTTATGAACAAAGGGCATTTTACTGTCCTTCAGACTTTAGGGGGCCGGACTGTGGCCAGTGGGAGAA